CCCCAAAACCCCAAAACCCCAAAACCCCAAAACCCCGCAAGGATTAATAAGAGTAAATATTTAAATTGAAGAAAGTGTATTTATATTTTCATAAGCTTGAAATATTATAAATTACTTTATAGTTGAAAATCGAGTATAGCCTCATAAATTATTTATCTTAATAGATTTTAATTTGTTACGATCTCTCTGAGGCATTATTAGATCCTAAAGATTCATTACATTTTAATCTTCTTCAGAGCTACTTATTTCTTAACTTTTCGTTACTATATTAGTATAATCATTCATCTATCTTCCTCTATACCATGAAGCAGGATTTTTATTACTATCATACTTTTATTCCTCATCATTTTCAAGTGACTTTTGATTCAGTTCTTCTAACTTTTTGAAAGTGCTTATTCCTCTTAATGTCTTTTTCGCATAAGATTAAGAAGAGTCCTCTGTCCTTTCTAAAGTAGTGGACTTTTACCCAGATAATCCATTAAAATTTCTTATACGACTAAACGTAGTTGGAATAAAGCTGCTTGAAGTTCTAGAATTAACTATATTGGAAGAAGATTTTTAATTGCTTTTAACACTTGCTGAATCATTTGTACTTTATCTCTTCGGAGCTTGCTATTCATTTGTCGAAAATAGCTCATTTGTATTAACTTGATTATTTTCAGTTTCTTATAAAATATTAGAGCTTGAGTTATTTTCCAAAAGTCCAGCAAAAGTAAATGAACTGAAGTTGTTTTTAACTACAATGAACTTAGATTTATTCTAATTATATGGAATCCTTAATTTTCCACTTGTAGTATCCTCACCCCTGATATTTTCCTCAATGATACTGAGTTTCTAGTCATATTCAGCATTAATTATTGCATTTATGTTTGAGTCAAACATTTATGTATTGTGGTTGATTGAAAATTCTTTGCTCTTGAAATAATCAATTTTTGATGTTCTTTGTCCTGTTAATTCTCTCTTAGGTGTTTATTTAGATGAGGAAGATGATGAGTCTTCAAATGATTTATTGTCAGAGTCTGTGATTTATAGATTATCGATTGATTTGCTTTGTTTTTTAATTGATCTTCTCTTCATGTGTGGACTATCAAGAGAAAAATTACTAGTCAATCTTAACTCGGTCATTATTGAATCTTTATCTCTTCTTAAAATTCTTGTATTTACTTGCTCATGTCTTAGCATATTCTTTTTCTTGATTAATGCTGGTGAATTAACATCATGATATGATGCATGTATATTTTTAAGAAACTTGAAGTTTTTCCCCTCAAGTTCAAACAGATTTTTTCCAAGTTATGCCAGCTTATGGGTAAAAAGATTCAACTCATTTATCTTGTCAGTAAGCTTTTCTCTACCACTTAAGACTTGACATATCTATCTTAAAAGGAGATTAAAAATAAATAATACCTTGAGCTGATCTCTGTTTTCCCTTTAACCCATCAATTAATATCATGATGTATATAAGTTCAATTCTGTTTTAGAGATATAGATTAGATTCTCCATTGAAATTACTAATTTTTCATTTTCTTCATTTGCTTGATCTCTCATCATCCTACAAAGGAATTTAATACTCTAAAATAACCATACATTCTATTTCTCTTAAGTTTACTCAAATTATTTATAAGCATTAGATAGTGTATACCTGCTTTGTTTTATTAAGTCTTTTTACTTTTAATGATCAAAAACAGGAAATATGATTATATGGCTCATTCGGCTAACTTCTTTTGTTTTTAATTTTTGTAATACTCCATTAGCTCTTGATAAACATTCTATTCATTTTCATTAAGTCTAGTTTATTTTTGGAGATTGACGATGAATAAAGACTGAATTGAATTCCCGATGAGACAAATAAAAAAGCATAGAAGTTTTGCGAATAGCTATTTAGGAACAAAATCTCCAAATCCTATTGTTGTAACTGTGATAATCGTGATCCATAGTGTATCTGATATTGATATGTTCACTGAACTTTCAATTTATCTAAAAAATAATTAATCTCTCATCAATTTCTATTACCTTTCCAAAGTTCTCATTGTAAAAGCGAAACTAATAATACAATAGCTAAATATAATCGCTAAAATTAAAAACGGTTTTTAATTCAGAAGGGACTTAAATGCAAACATAGAATTAGCCTCTGCTCCATTAAAATAACTAGAATAGTTTTTTAATTATATTCATTAAGTTATGCTTACCATATCCTATCTGCTTATTAATTAGTCCATCTTGTCATATATTTCAAAATTTGATAGGCAATGATGATTACTTTTGGAAGTTATAAAGCAGTTATAATTGAATCAAGTGAGTAATAAGTTTTTTGTCCCTCTTGTAAAACGATAAAGTTAAAGTCTAAAAATGGCAAAGGTATAATTGATCCAAAGGCAAATTCAATGATAAACATAAATCTCTCCATAAATGTTTGACTGTCAACTATAAAATGTTATAAGATATCATCTAAGAAATAATTGCATACCTAATTTATAATCAACAAACTGTCTTAATTATCTTTAATATTTGTGATAATAATGAATTAATGCCATCAATGGAACATTCATTACGAATATCATCATTCTTAGGATTATGTTACTGTTGGTTGCAACTTATTAGTTATTCACATACACTTCATTCTAAAATATTAATATTTTCAGATTACCTCGATGTATACCATAGATATGACTAATATCTAGAAAAATGTCCTAACTTACACATTCTTGTCTAATCTTGATCTTAAAATATTAATTTCTTGAGAAAACCTATTTCTTCCTAAAAAATTAAAAAACACTTTATATCATACCATCCATTGATTGAATAAAATTCATATTAGATACCGAGCTTTTAGTACTTTGATTTAGATTTTCATGGTTTTGAATTGATTTTTATGATGAATTTCCTAATATTTCTTAGAAATTATTCTCCAACTTAGGTTGTTCTTTGTCAACTGGCTTTTATCGAATCATAATTGATTTTCTACGCTAATCTTTTTTAATTTATTGCTATATCATTTCTTGGGGATTTATTGTTCCTTTATTCTTGATCTGTTCTTTATGGAAATCTTATTTTTATATTGCTTCCTATTAAAAAACATCCTAGGCTAGTCGTATTTCAGATGGATCAACTTTACTAATTATGCCTTTGAGAGTTTATCCGTTTTTTTATTCTACAAATTCTAAATTTGATCGATACTTTTTATTTGCATTTTTAAGCAAAACACGTCTAGGTTCTCATGTCATGACAGATTTTCTCTTCTATCCTCTATTCGGAACGCAATTACTGCTTTGAACTTATTTATTTAATATATCCATGATTTTTATTATTCTACACTCGATAAAATTATTAAACTCTATTTAAATTAATTACAGTATTTTGCTCTCACCCTTCATTTGTTAAATACTAGAGTTACGGGGTTTTGGGGTTTTGGGGAGATCGGAAGAGCGTC